CATGCGTCCCACACGCCACATTGGGCATTTACACCCACCTAGTACAGCGCTTCGTGGCCCCATAGGGAGCTCCACCGACGGCACCAGTGGTACCGCCCGCATGCGTGCCCCCCCACCCAGTGCAGCGGTTCGTGGCCCCATAGGGAGCTTCACCGAAGAAGATATTCAGAATTGCGGTACCCACATCTGCATCTGGTTGGGTCCTTCGCCAGGGTAATTCTTATTCCACTCAATATTGTCTCGCAGAGCCAGGGCACCTTTTGTCGCTGCCGACAGGTGAGGTGAGTACAGTTCCCAAAATGCCTTGGTCCCAGAAACGCGCGGAGACAGCGCCGAAACGGGCGCGGCCTGTGTCCATGCTCTGACTTTCAGGTTCACCGTTCTGTCCCGTGTAGTCGGCCGTACGAGATGCCCAGTGCCTTTGGGCGTCACCGACCTCGCCCATGGGTTTCCTAGCACTGGTTTTGAGTCGGGCCTGTCCCTCTACAGGGAGAATCTTCAAAAATAGTCAAACAACTAGTATGGGGACGTTTTTTCATACATTTTTTGGGGGGTGGTTATGCTTTGGGTATTTTTTAAGATTCGTCCACAATCCGCCTATAGGGGGACATGCCCGACCTAAGACTGGTTCTGGTGGCCTTTCGGGGCGCTTCGAAGCATGTGGGGCTCCCCGGGGGGGCGCTTGGGGCCTGGAGGCAGAGGGTCCCACAAGCTCAAGAATCCAAAGAAGACCCCAAATGCACACCCCAGAGGGTCCAGGGGAAGCGTCTTTGCCACCCACGAACGCGGGAACATACACAGCACCACGGGCGTTGATTCCCTTTGCTGTTGCCTCGCAGCTAGAGGGCGCCCTTCGCCGCTGCCGCCCGAGTGAGGCGAGATACATTCCCCAATCAGTGCTTGCACTGAAGGGGTCCTAGGGGAAATTGAAAGATTTGGCGAAAGGTTCCCGCCGATTTTGGTAGCCAGCGGGGTTCCCGGGTTCCTGGTCATTGGTTCCAGGCAGGTTTCGGTGAGTTCCGGGTTCCCGGGTTCCCAGGTTCCCGGTCGATCTTCTTATCGATTTCTTTATCGATCCCATTTCAAACCATCTTTTGATTGTTTTTTTGCTTTGGTGTAATCGGAGGCCTCATGGGAGTGCAGTGCCCCATGTTCTCAAAGCCCAGAGTCGCGCGGAGACGGCGGCGAAAATGACGCCGCCCAACGCCATCATGAAAGCCTTCCGGTGACATCCCCGCCCAGACCCCACGATTTTTGTTCGAACATCTTTCGTGGGTGTAGTCCACGGGTCCGCCCTAGCTAGTCACTTTCAATGGAGCTGCAAGCGCGTGTGGGAAATGCGGAGAGTGGCGGCTGGCTCTGTCTTTGCTGGTCGAAATTGCGAAGGCGAAGTTGGAGCCCAGCGTCATCAGCTACAGTGCTGGGATCAGCGCGTGCGAGAAGGCTGGGCACTGGCAGCAGGCTCTCTCTTTGCTTACCGGGATTTGGGAACAGACGTTGGAGTTCAATGTCGTCTGCTACAACGCTTGCATCAGCGCTTGCGAGAAAGGCAGGCAGTGGCAGCAGGCTCTGTCGCTGCTCAATCAGATGTGGGAGGCGAGGTTGAATGTCGACGACACAAGCTACAACGCTGGGATCAGCGCGTGCGGCATATGCGAGCGGTGGCAGCATGCACTGTGGCTGCTAGGCGAGATGCGTCGAGCGAAATTAAAGCCAGACGTCATCAGCTACAGCGCTGGGATCAGCGCGTGCGAGAAGGGCATGCAGTGGCAGCATGCTATGTGGCTGCTCAGCGAGGCGTACGGGGCGAAGGTGGAGCCAGACGTCAGCAGCTACTGCGCCGTGATCAGCGCCTGCGAGAAGAGCGGCGAGTGGTACAGAGCTCTGTGGCTCTTCGGCGAGATGCGGGTGGAGAATTTAAAGCCCGACGTGAGCAGCTGCAACGCTGTGATCAGCGCGTGCGAGAAGGGCAGGCAGTGGCGGCGAGCTTTGTCGCTGCTCGGCGAGGCGAGGAGGGCGAGGTCGGAGTGCACCGTCGTCAGCTTCAGCGCCGGGATCAGCGCCTGCGAGAAGGGCGCGCAGTGGCAACGGGCGCTGTCACTGTCTAGCGATATGTGGGAGGCAAAGCTGGAGCCGGACGTCTTCGGCGCTCACCCATCCTTCGAAGAAAGCACGGTGTAAGCATAGATGTTCGGCGTTCCGCGCGGATTGCTGGGGGTCTGCGCTGGGGCCCCTTGGCGGCTCCTCCGGCGCCGCCCCTGGCGTGCTCCAGAAGCAAGGGAGGGGGGCATCCAGCGCGGATCCAAGAAGTCCGCGCGGAGCTTCAACAGTGTTTACGCTTATACCGTTTCTTATTCTGATCCTTATGATTTGTATGACCACTTTCTCTGATTATGGCTATCATTCTGATTATTCAATTATTACTAGTGTTATACTTTTTCTTACTATCATGTTTGTTCTTATGTCCTCCTTTTTCTCCGAGTCGTGCCACCACAGGGAGCTCCGAGCAGTGAGCGAGTGGGGTCGCTGCTGGCCACGCCGGGCCTTGGCCGCGCACGGGCCCAGACCCGACGAGGAGCGGCGCCCGGCAGCCGGCAGCGGCGAGGCGCCCCGACCTGCCTGCAGACTCATGGGCAGAGGCTCTGAGAGATGTTTGGGGCTTGCACGACATGATCTTAAGCATGGGGAGGAGGAGGAGGAGGAGGAGGAGGAGGAGGATGCTCGGAGTCGAAGAAAAAAACACATGAACATACACTGTTGGCGCTCCGCGCGGATTTCTTGGATCCGCGCCTGGGCCCCCCTGGCGGCGCCTCCAGCGCCGCCCCTGGCGCGCTCCGCGTTCCAGGGAGGGGGGTCCAGCGCGGATTCAAGAATTCAGCGCGGAGCGCTTAAAGTTTTTGTTTGCGTGGTTTTCTTCTTCTACTGAGAGCTTCTTGGGGCTTGCGCGACATGTTTTAGGGCATCTCTGGCTGTGGCCGTCTTTTTTGAGTCTGTCGGTGCTATCTCTTTCCTCCTCCTCCTCCTCCTCCTCCTCCTCATCCATGCCCTCCTCTCTCCTCCTCCTCCTCCTCCTCCTCCTCCATGCCCTCCTCCTCTTCCTCCTCCTCCTCATGCTCCTCCTCCTCCTCCTCCTCCTCTTCTTCCTCCATGCCCCGGGGGGGGGGGAACTCACCTCATGTGCAAGCGCGGTCGGTTTGCGCCGAGTCGACTGGCGGCGACCCCGCCGCGGGCGTTCGAGGCTGAAGGCCGCCAGCCGCCCAGAATCGCCCCACACGGAACGACCGGGCGATCGGCAGGCCGCCGATCGTTCGATCCGCGGACGAGGTGTTGTGCACCGCACCGCGTTGGCGTCTCCCGAGGCGTTGTCGCTCTGCGACCCAGGAGTGGTTCGGTGCATAGATTTATGTCGGGCGTGTCCCCCTACAGGGGGGATTTCCGACGAAAAATAAAACATTCCCCAAAAGTACCCCCAAAAGGTCAAAACATACTCAAAAATAGTCCCCAGACCATTTTTGGATTATTTTTTGAATATTTTTGGGGTATTTTTCATTTTCCGTTGAAAATCTCCCTGTAGGAGGACAGGCCCGACTTAAGCATAGATATATCGGCCCTTAGGAACCCCCAAACTGTGCACCGTACCGCGTTGGGATGGGGCCTGAACGGAGTCCGGGCATGGTACGGTGCATGGTCGCCGTTCTCGTATTCAAAGTGCAGCGACCGACGCGGTGTCAGAGACCAATGCCGGGGTCGTCGCGACACGAGCTTGCCGTAACCACCGCCTGGAGGATCGATATCCGGAGACCTCGAGGGGGGACGGTGGATGTGGACATCTTCGGGCACCCCGGGGCCAAAGGATATCCATAGCCGCCGCCCGCTGGACCCCCAGAGCGTCGGTTCCCGGGCGGCGTATACGGATACATCCCCCCGCCTCGCACATGCGTCGGCAGCTCGGTGCCCGTGTCGGTGCGGTCGATCCGCCCCTTGCCAGCTCGATCCGAGGCGCTTCCGATGCTGGCCTGAGCGCTGTGCTGTGCACACCTGCGCGGCCGAGCCGATGCGATGCCGACCCCGTGCCGGTGCTGCCCGATCCGACGCGCACTCCGGTCCAGCGCGGTCTCCCGATGCGATGCGGGCCGATCCTGGCCGTGCTTTGCGAGCGGTGCTGCGCCCCGGGAGGGCGGCTGGGGCCAGCTCCGAGGCGGGGATCCAAGCCAGAACCACCGTCCAGGGAATCGCTCTTCGGCGGCCTCGGCAGGGGGGGGGGGGCACGGATAATTGCTGGCCTTGGGGGGGGCCGAGCATGTCCATGTCCAACGCTTGCCGAGGCTCCGAAGAGCTATGCCCCAGGTGGCGGTTATGGGTACGTCCCCGCCGTGGAGGGGCCCCACGGGTCCCCGCATCCCATGGGGAATCTTGGGGAGTAGTTCTTCGCCTCGAATCTCGGGGGCGGAAAAGAGGGGGGTGATGACTAGGGGGGGGTGGATCTCATGGCGCGGGCCATGATATTTCCCCAGATTTCATGGCGCCTCTTCTTGTTTCACTACTTCCCCGGCCTCCCCGCTGGGCCGCGCACATGCCGCCGGTCATGATTTGCACCCCCCCCTCTTGGACGCCCCCCTCTTGGCCGCTCCCGATCTTCGCCTCGGATCCATCCTCGGTGGCACTGGGGGCCGATAGCTGTGTGCAGTGGAACATTCATACGTGCGTGCTCATGTGGACGGTAGTCAACGGGCCGACTCTTGTCAGCTACAGCGCTGGAATCAGCGCGTGCGAGAAAGGCGCGCAGTGGCGGCAGGCTCTGTGGCTGGTCAGCAAGATGCGGAAGGAGAATGTGGAACCCAACCTCATTAGCTACAATGCTGCGATCAGCGCCTGCGAGAAAGGCAACCAATGGCAATGGGCGCTGGCAGTGTTGCGAGAGTCGCGCGCGGCAGAGTTGGATCCGAACCTCATCAGCTACAATGCTGGGATCAGCGCGTGTGAGAAAAGTGGGAAATGGCAGCAGGCGCTGCTCTTGCTCGGCGAGCTGGAGGAACAGTGGGAGCCCGACGACATCAGCTACCTCGCCGGAATCGGCGCGTGCGAGAAGGGCGGGCAGTGGCAGCCAGCCCTGTCGCTGCTCACCGACCTCAGCAGTGCCTGCGTTGCGAGGCTCGCGCGCGACGCCATCGGCGGCGACGCTGCCACTGGCGGCGCGCGTGAGGAGGCCGAGCAGTGGCAACGGGCCGTGGCAGCGATCGGCGACGTTTGGAAGGCAAAGCTGGAGCCCGATGTCATCTCTTAGCCTGGCATCGCTCGGACGTGTGCATTTTTTCTCGGCGAGAGTATCCTGGACCATCGAGCAAAACACGCACGAAACCCGGAAATGGACGTCCGAGCGACGGCAAGTAGATGCTCGTTTGGGTGACCTTCCTGGGACCCACCTAGCGGATCTGTTTGACTCTGGTTCGATTCCTTTTCGATTCAAGTTCGACTGAAGTTCGACTCAGGTTCGACTCAGGTTTCAGTCAGCGTCGTCTCAGGATCGACTCACATCGACGGACGTTCGACGCAGCTTCGACGCACGAGTGGAGCGAGTGTCTCTCAGAGGGTCCCCAGACTGAGCCTTAAGTCGGGCCTTTCCCTCCACAGGAGGGATTTTCAAAATCAGTCATAAAACAGCATGGGGACGATGTTTGTGCTGATTTTTGAACCATCTCTGAGTATTTTTCTCCAAAATCCGCCTGTAGGGGGACATGCCCGACTTAAACTGAGCATCCAACATCGCAGAAGCATTTGCACCATTGCCAAAGAACTCGACCGGAGCCCTGGAAACCCCCCTCTCTCCGCGAGAGCCGGGTCGGACCGCGAGGGCCCCGGTGATCCGACGCGAGGCAGGATCGCCCGTTGTGGAAAATCGCGACGCCGGGATCTCAGCGTCGGTCCCACCCCCTCAGGTTCTGGACGCCCGAGATGGGCACGGAAAGAATTGGTACGATGCCCAACAGCAGTTCCTGTTCATTCTGAACAGGACTCGCTGTCCACGCCGCCGCGGCCCGTGTCCATTCGAGACAGGAGGCCGCCTGCCCAACAGCGGCCGCTGTTGGTTTGGGACAACATTTGTTGTTGGGCATTGTGCCCATTCTTTCGGTACCCATTTCGGGTGTCCAGACAGGTTTTCGGGCCGTGATCTTCGGGGTCGGACAGAACCCCCAACAGTGACACGTCGATTGGTGAATTGGCCGTTTTCGGTTTTCGTGAGGGCGCAGTGGCTGTTATTTTCAGAGTCGGTCCGACCGCCCCTGCTCGTCTTTTACCGGATGTCTATCAGCGAAAAGCGCCGAATGGCGCCCGATAGCGCCGTATAGCTCCCAAGTGGCGCCCAGCAGCGCCCTGCGGCGCCACGCGACGGGAACGCGTCCACGTCCGCGCTGCGCGACGTCGGACGCGCTGTTGGGCGCCACGGGGATTCGAGAGCTGCTCTCTGGGCCTGCCCCCTTCCCAATTCCCCCCCCCCCTGGCGGGCCGCCCCCCCCACCCGGAGGCCGTGCGGGACGATCCGGGCACCCTTGGGCGCCTCTCGATCTTCCGCAAACGATATCAACCACGCGCAGAGGGGGTTGAGGGGACGGGGGAGGGCTTCTTAGGAGCACCTCTGCTTCTCAGAAGGCGCGGGCCTTATCTCTAGATACAGGGCCTCCGCCTTCTAAGAAGCAGCCTCCTTCTTCTAAGAAGCCCTCTCCCCTTCACCCCCTTGTGCGCGCCGCCAACGATAGACAGACACCCTCTAATGAGATGTTCGTGGGCCTCCTGGGGGGAGGGTGGCGGTGTATCAATCACCACTGCCAGCGACTTTATGCACCCCACCCTCCCTGAAGGCGCATGCAGAGTTCGTCGGAGGGTGTCTGTGTATACTTGCATGTGCATATATGTACACATACGTATGCATAGTATATACATATATATATATATATGTGTATACACATGTGTATTGATATATGTATATATATATATATATATATATATATGTATCTGCTCGTGGCGTATCGGGGCGATCCGTGCTTACCCGGAATGCCGTCGGCGAGGCGCAGCTGTCGGAACGTACCTCGAGGCTGGACAGCCTCTGAGGATGGACGACAGGTTCCGAAAACCTTGAACTTCGCATTCGAAACAGGGGGCCAAATCGCCCGTTGACGCTCCAGGGGGCCCAAGACGACACAAGATCGCCAGTTGTGCAAAATCGCGACGCCAAGATCCCAGAAGACGACGACGACGACGACGACGACGACGACGACGACGACGACGACGACGACGACGACGACGACGACGACGACGATTTCACGACGACGACGACGACGACGACGACGACCGCTGGCCAGCCCTGGTCAGCCACAGCGCCGGGATCAGCGCGTGCGAGAAGGCCGGGCAGTGGCAGCGGGCGCTGGCGCTGCTGGGCGAGATGCGCGGGGCGAGGCTGGAGCCGAACGCCGGGTCCACGAGGGCTGCGGCCCCCGGTGCGTGCCGCTCGAGGGTCCTCGGGTCTGGGCGCCGCGCGTCTGCACCCCCGACGGCGTCGGTCGCCCGGAGTCGGGCGCCTCGGGGCCCTCCGTCGGACCGAGCCCGCTCGCAGGCTGCGCATGACAGGTTCCACAGGGGGCAAGAGCCCCCCATGGGTCTCCACGACGCTTCCAGAGCCGCCTTCAAGAGGCTTCCGAGGAAAGATCCCTCAGAGAGCTCTGGGACCGCGCTGGCCACCCATGAAAATGTGACATTCATACGCTCATTGTGCTTTGCGGTTTTTTGGAGCGGGTGCTTGATGGGGAAACTCAGCCCTTCCCCCCACCCGCCCCTGATGATGATGATGGTGATGATGATGATGATGATGATGGTGGTGATGATGATGATGATGATGTTGATGACGTTGATGACGTTGATGATGCTGCTGCTGCTGCTGCTGCTGATGATGATGATGATGATGATGATAATGATGATGATGACGTTGATGATGATGATGATACCGATGCTGCTGATGATGATGATGATGATGATTCTGATGATGATGATGATGATGATGATGATGATGGTGGTGGTGGTGGTGATGCTGATGCTGATGCTGATGCTGATGCTGATGCTGATGCTGATGCTGATGCTGATGCTGCTGATGATGATGATGATGATGCTGATGCTGATGCTGCTGCTGCTGCTGCTGATGATGATGATGATGATGATGATGATGATGATGATGAGGAGGAGGTGGAGGAGGAGGAGGATGGGAAGACTCAGCCATGCCCCCCACCCTCGCTCGGCGGTCACCTCCGCCAACACTGGAAGGGGATCGAGGGGGCCGCCACGGGAACCGTATGGTCTCCATTGGACTTCGCAGCAGGCCCAGAGCATACCACATGAGCCCTCCTCCTCCTCCTCCGCCTCCTCCTCCTCCTGCTCCTCCTGCTCCTCCTTCTCCTCCTCCTCCTCCTCACCCGCGGTAGCAAATCCCCGGGGCGTTGCTCACCGTTAGACCAGCTCTAATCCAAGCTCTAATCCTCCTCCTCCTTCTCCTCCTCGTTCTCCTCCTCTTCCTCCTCCACACAATCTGAGTACTACTCTCCTGTCTCCCCTGATGGCGTCTGGGAAATGTTCGGCCCCCACTTGTATGATGTTCCAACCTGCTTTAGCCTTGATCGCCAGAAAGAGTTTGAAGCACCAAAGAAGTACCGAAGCTTGAGGGCTTTCACATCTCGGGCCCTGGGGGAAGATACTCGCTCGGCACCGTTTCGACACTGTTCTGGGTGCTGGACATTATTTCTGGGATGCGGTGATGCGGTCCTTAGGTACGATGGGAGCAACAGAAGCCCGCCTCCGTCAAGCTTTTTTTGTTAGGGAGGGCGGTACGTAGTCAGCGACAACGGCGCCATCAGCGCGAGCGAGGGCGGTGCGTCGGGCGGGGCTAGGACGAGGACGAACCCGTCGCAGAGCGTTCTCGAACGTTCCGGGACGCTCTGAGAAGGCCGCGGCGCCCGAGACATCCTCCAGAGCCGCCAGGATCTCAGAGGTCTTCGATTTATCTTCACCCGATTTTGTCCTCGTCGTGGCTTCGTCTTCGTACGCAGTCAGCTACAACGCCGCCATCAGCGCGTGCGAGAAGCGCTGGCAGTGGCGGCGGGCCCTGGCGCTGCTCGGCGAGATGCGGGGTGCGGCGGTGGAGCCTGATCCCATCGCGCCCCGCGCCTGCCGCGGCAAGGGTCTGCGCCGCCCCCCTCCCGCCGCGCGGCGGCGGCGCCAGCCCGTGCGGGCGTTGCGTGAGTGCTTGGGCGTCGCTCGGACGTGTGCACTTCTTCTCGGCGAGGGGAATCGCGGCACATCTGGGCTCATCGTGCGACAAAAACTGGCGCACGAGGCCGGACAAGTGCATGGGAGGTGCACGTCCGAGCGATGGCGAGACTGGGGGGGTGATGAACCGGGGGGGGTGAAGGCCTTTCGTGCCCTAATGGGGGGGGCCCTGAAGGGTCCCCCCGGGGACCCACAAGGGGCAGGAGAAGTGCGCGTTTCTCCCCCCCCCTCCCCCGTGCATCCGTCGCCTCCCTATGAGGCAACGCCCGACGCGTGCGCTCGAGCTTGTGCCACGCCAGCGTTAGGGTTTAGTCGGGCCTGTCCCTCTACAGGCGGAGTATTCAAGAATATAAAACGAATTTGTCTGGGGACTACTTTTTGAATTCTTGTTGGCCATTATGGTGCATTTTTTGAATATTTTCATTGTTCTGCCAAAATCCGCCTGTGGGGGACATGCCCGACCCAACGTTAGGGGGAGCGTGAAGGGGGGGTTCTCGCCGCAAGTGCCAGGTTTTCCGGACGATCTTGTAAGTACCGGGCGGTTTTCTTGCCTCGGGATGTTGCCTCCGCGCTGCTGCGCCTCGCCCCGAGCGTCCTCGGGGTGCCTGGCTCGTCCCGAGCAGCCGCCGGAGACCCGACTCGCGACCCGAAGCCCAGAGGAGGTCCATTGGGCGGGGAGAAGGCTCAGGGGGGGATGCAGCGACCCCCCAAGCACCCACTCGTCGCCGAGAGGGGGCCCGATATCCCGCCCCGTCCAGGAGAGTGCGCATTCGCGTTCGGGGGCCTATCGCCGATCCATCGGCGATTTGTAGCCGATTCCAGCTCGATGTTCCCACCCACGGCGTTGCACCTCGATCGTGGCCCACCGCGGCAGGTCCGTACCGTCCCAGCGCAGCGGCTACACCAGCGCAGGCGCTCAAGGCTGAGCGTCGCCAGTGGCCCAGACTCCCTTCACTTGCTCTCGCCGAAGCATCACGACGGGAGGTCTTGGACCATTTTCGGCTTCGGGGGGGCTCTCGCCAGGCCCCCAAGCCGTCACCTCGCTTGGCCCCACGGGCCGTCAAAGCACGCCTCGGGATGGCAGACCGGTTCCATGGGAAGGGCGTAGGCGTAGACCTCGGGGGGTCGACGCTGTCCAGAGGTCAACACGTTGAAGATGTGGGTCGACCGACGTCGAGTCATTCGACCCTGAGGTGTTGACTCTGCATTTTTTCCAGAACGGGCGATTCTGTTTTGTCTCGGGCCTTGGGGCCCTCGCGGATCGACTCGGCTCGAGAAATGCAGCAGAAGCATGTGGTCTAGTGCTCCAGTCGAGTTTTTGTCCGATGTTGGATTTTTTCGTGACGTCGGGTCCCAGGGAACGTGGAGTGCCGCTAGTGGCCCAGACTCAGCCGACATCGGGTGATCCGCGTTGTCGAGAGGCCGCGATCGTTCAGGGTTCAGCGATTAGCCCATTGAAGGAAGCCAACGCCAGCATTGTCAGTCACTCCTCGACTTTCCCGCCTCCATCCTCCATTTAGTTCTTCCTAAAAGCGCTGGAGGCATGTTTTCATGTTTTTCTGTTTTCAGCGTGTCGTGTTGCGGTCCTGCAAAACAGAAACAAAAAAAGATTTGCAATCCAAAACAGAACCCAATTAAGATACATTCGACCTACGAAGAGCAACGGCAGTGAACACCGAACAAACAGTGGATAGCAACGATCCGAACACGGCGAAGCGGCAATCCCCCCAAAACGGCAAACATGGCGCCCGACAACGTGAGAGAGCGTCGACCTTGATAACAACGAGACACCGCCCCCCGTCCTTTCCGATACCACCGGAGCTCTTCCCTCTCCTCTCCCCCGCCGTCGCTCTTCGCGAGAAGGCCCCAGGAGGCCCCCGAGAGGTCTCCGAGCGACCTCCCAAGAGACCTCCCCCCGCGAGGCCCCAGGCGACCCTCGAGAGGTCCCTCCCCCCCCTTCCCGCCTCCTCCCTCCTCGGCTCCCCCCTCCGCCCTCCCCGCCCCCCTTCTCTCTCCTCGGCCGGCGCTCCTCTCCTCTCTCGGCCCCCTCGCTCCTCACCGATCGCTCCTCGCTTCTCCCCCCCTCCTTCTTCGGGAGGGGGAAAAAGCACACACAGACGCAGTGAATCGTCGATCCCCATGGGAAACATGGGAGAATATGGGAAGTGGGGGGGAAAACGAACATCCCAAACATATGGGGAAATATTGGGAATCCGGGTTATGTGTGTATATTTATGTGTGTGTGTCCCCCTTCCTCCCCCTTCCTCCCCTTCCCCCCTTCCCCCTTCCTCCCCTTCCTCTTCCCCTTTCTCACCTTCCTTCCCCCTTCCTCCCCCTTTCTCCCCCTTCTTCCCCTTCCCCCCTTCCTCCTCTTCCTCCCCTCCTCGATCTCCTGACTCCTCGGTCCTCTCCTCTCGGCGGGTTGCGCCAGCAAGCTGAGGTACCGACGAGCATCACCCTGCACAGTCGGAGCGCTGAAGAAGGATCCCTTCTCGTTGGGGAAGGGCTCGGTGCTCCCTGATCGTTTCACAGCTTGCCTCAGGTTTTCGCCAGGTTTTCCATGGGAAACCGAAGTCTAACATATTGGAATAAGGGGCCGCGTTCCTCAATTAGGGTTCCTTAGGTCAACGCCCCGACTGTAGCCAAACAGCAGCACACTATGCGGCAGCAGCGGCATCACACAGCAGCAGCGATGTGCAGCCGACAGCGGACAGCAGCACGCACTAAGCAGAACTGGCCATCAGCAGCCCCCTGCAGCCACAAGTAGCAACAACAGGCAGCAGCAGCAAGTATTGTCAACATCACGCAATAGACAGCGGCAGCAAGCAGCAGCACGAAGTAGCATTCGCAGAATGCGGGGGTCGAGCCGCGCGTTACAATGTCAGCCTGTCGGCCGCATGCCCACAGTCATATGAGCGACGAAACAACATGGGGTCGTCTTCGCCGACACTGGCACGTAATGAAGCTTCCCGCGTAAGGTCGCGCGTAAGTGCCCGCGTCTCCAACGTAGCGTGCCGCGATGGCGGCCCGCGTAAGTTGCGCAGTGAGGCCGCTGTGCCATCTCGCGTAAGACCCGTGTTTGATGCTAGTTCGGGCAGACTTCGTGGACGTGGTCCACGGGTCAGCCCCGATCAGCTACAGCGCTGGGATGAGCGCGTGCGAGAAAGGTGGGGACTGGCAGCGGGCGCTGGCGCTGCTCGGCGAGTTGCGGGAGGCGAAGCTGGAGCTGGACGTCACCTATGCCCCAAGGCCCAGGTGGCAGCACCCGCGAGGCGTGCCCAGGGCAGAAGCTGCCCCCCGCCGCAGTCGGCAGGGGCGCGGCCGGGGCGGGCGCGGCCGACCGATGCGGAGCGACACGCGGGAAGCATCACGATGTCCCACACGGCCCACCCGCACATCAAGGGATGAAAAGCCACCCGGACCGGACTGTTGCGCGTTTTTTTCATACGGCCCTAGGCGTTTACTAAACAGCCCGGCCTTGCCTGATTCCTTCTTTGGATGCGTTTGCGAAACGGCTTCGCGTGTCGGGGTGGTTATTGTCCCTGCACCTCCATCTTCCATACCTTCCGACCTCTGCGGAAGGCGCGGGAGGTGATGCACTGAAACTATTGAAGGCCTCGGGAAACGCAAGAAAACTCAGCGCCCCACGAAGCGCAAGAGTGTGGAAGGTCAGCACGGAAGGTCTGGAAGAATGAGGGCGAGGTGTCGGGGTGGATGTTTTCGCTTTCTGGCACAGTGAGGAGGGGCAGCCTTCCCAGGGCTGCCCCTGCATCCTTGCCCCTTCGGCCCATTCTCGGCGACGTTCGCTGGCTGGCCTCTTTCGAAGAGCGCTGGCGTGGCCCTCCGAGGCCCCCGCGTCCCTGCCGCGCACCCTCGTGAGACGGGCTGCCTGTACTCTCAAATCGGGCCTGGCCCTCTACAGGGGCAACATTCAGAAATAGAAAACAACAGTCTGGGGACGACTTCTGGACCATTTTGTTTTTTTGGTTTAATGTTTTTTTGTTGTTTAAAAACTCTTTGTAATGTTTTGCCCCAGTGTCCGTCTGCAGGTGGACATGCCCGACCCAACTGTACTCCCTCCCCCCCCCCCAGGCACGCGCGGCTGCAGCCCGGGCGTCATCTCGGGGGCTCTGGCGGCCCTCGCCAGGCCCCAGGACCGCAACAGGAGATGCTCGGGATGGAGAGCTGGTCCCGGGGAGCGGGTCTTGCGGTCGACGCTGCGAAGAAAGATTGACGTCGGGGGACTGTTACCCAGATCTCCCACGAGATGGAAGGATTTAGGTCCCCGAGTTTTCCTCGATCTTGGCCTCTGGGGCCCCGGGCCCCAGGGCAGTCGAAAATTGGCCCCTGCCGCAGACCTTCCCCCAGGGAAGCGGTCGTGACGGTCTTGTGGCCGCATTTCGGAAGAATCACATCGTCGGATGTCTTGGTACACATGAGCGACGCCGAACAACGGGATCGTTTTCTGACATTGACGCCTAAACTGCCCGCGTAAGGTCGCGCAGAAGCGCCCTCGTTTCCGAGGCGGCGTGCCGCGCTGGCGGCCCGGTGAGGCACCGCGTGAGATCGTTCTGTCGTCTCGCGTGAGATCCCTTTGTTGTTGTCGCTCACATGAGGCGTCCGGCCCAGGCGAGAGTTGGGAAGAGGTGTGGCCTGGCGTCTTTCCGAGGCTTGGCCCCCCGGCGGCCCCGCAGGCTATGGGCTGGCCGAGCTTCCGAGTGCGCATCCCGCGCGTGCCTGCCAGATGCTCCACGTGTGAATCCGGCCGTGTGCGTTTCCAGATTCCTTCGGAGGTGGATAGAACTCCCACCCTGACACGCCGATTGAGGAATTGGCCGTTGTCGGTTCGCGAGAGGGCGTCGCGGCCGTCATTTTTTGTAGGTCCAGATCCGTCGGTTTCGGTCCCAGGCCGTTTTCACTAAGGGGAGGGAGGTTTACTAAAGGTAGGTTTGTATTCCGCCGATCTGGTAGAATGGGTCCAGCGCGCGCGCGCCCCTGGATCTTGAATCCTTTCAAGTCGGCTTAGACAATGTTTGAATCTTCCCAGCGCGCGCACAGTTTGTCTTGCACATTGAAAGGCGCACACGCTTACGAGCACATTCTCTTTTCAAGAGGCTTACGTCATTTCGCCGACTCCCATAAGAGTGAAAACGTCTAGTGTCGTGTCACCGTGCCTAGCCTGCAGGAGCCTCGGGGATGCACATCTAAGAAAGAGCGCGTTCTGTGGTCGCTTGGAGGGGGGGGGTTAGAACCGGACCCTTCCCCCCCTCCCGTGACGGAGGTGGGGGGGGGGTTCAAATCCCCCCCCCCCGCCCTCCCTCCCCTGCTTCCCCTCTCCTCGGGCCGGCGCTTGCGTCGGCGGCGGCTGGCGGCGGTGGCTGAGACGACGATTTTCTTTTCTGGGCCAGCGCCGGCGCCTGCGGCGGGGGACGGCGGCGGCGGAGAGCGTCGACGAGGACGACGGTGGTGGTGGTGGTGGTTGTGGTGGTGGGTTGTGGTAATGGTGGTGGCGGTGGTGGTGGTTGCGGTGATGGTGGTGGTGGTGTGGTGGTTTGTTGTGGTGGTGGTGGTGGGTGGTGGTGGTGGTGGTTTGGTGGTCGTGGTTTGGTGGTGGTGTGGTGGTGGTTTGTGGTGGTGGTGGTGGGTCGTGGTGGTGGTGGTGGTTTGGTGGTGGTGTGGTGGTGGTGGTTTGTGGTGGCGGTGACGGTGGTGGGTTGTGGTGGTGGCGGTGGTTTGTCGAGGTGGTGCTGGTGGTGGTGGTTTTGGCGGTGGTGTTGGTGTTGGTGTGGTGGTTTGTGGTGGTGGCGGTGGGTTGTGCTGCCAGTAGTCGTGGTGGTTGTGGCGGTGGTGATGGTGGTGGTGTGGTAGATTGTGGTGGTGGCGGTGGTAGTGGTGGTGGGTTTTTGTAGTGGTGGTGGTTCTGGTGAGTTGTGGCGGTGGTGGTTGTGGTGGTGTGGTGGTGGTGTGGTGGTGGTTTGTGGTGGCGGTGGTGGTGGTGGTGGGTTGTGGTGGTGGCTGTGGTTTGTGGACGTGGTGTTGGTGGTGGTGGTGGTGGCGGTGGTGGTGGTTTGTGGTGGTGGTGTGTTGGTTTGTGGTGGTGGCGGGGGGTTGTGCTGCTAGTAGTGGTGGTGGTTGTGGCGGGTGGTGGTGGTGTGGTAGATTGTGGTGGTGGTGGTGGTGGTAGTGGTGGTGGGTTTTTGTGGTGGTGCTGGTGATGGTGAGGTGTGGTGGTAGTTGTCGTGGTGGTGGTGGTGGTGGTGGTGTGGTGGGTTGGTGATGGTGGTGGTGGTGGGTTTAAGCGGTGGTGGTGGTGGTAGTGGTGGCGGTGGTGGTAGTGGTGGTAATCGTCGTTGCGTTCCCGCCGTCGCAGGCGCCAGCAGCCGGCGCTGCTGACCGCCGCCAGCGCCGGCGCCGGCGCCAGGGGGAGGGGGGGGGGGTTGAACCCCCCCCTCCTTGGGCTGCCTCTGGTCATCGTCGCTGCGTCCCCGCCGTCGGCGCTGCTGGCGGCCGCCAGCGCCGGCGCCGCCGGCGCTGGGGGGGGTGGGTTTGAGCCCCCCCCCCCTGGGAGGGGGGGGTTCGGGAGGGGGGGTTTGAGGGAGGAGGGGAGTCCCCCTAGTTTTGACACTCCCCGGTTTGAAACGCGCCGCCGGATATTCCTGAGGCGAGCGCCCGTGAAACGTGTTCTCTCACATCTAAGGAACTTTTGAAAGGCTTTTTGGGGCGTCTGATTGACTCCTGGGGGCCTCTCGATGTCCTCTTGGGTGTATCTTGGGTGCCCCCTCTTGGGGCCTCTTGGGGCCTTTCACTGTGGGGGGGGCCCCACGACGGGAAAGACTTTCGCTGTCAGTTTGTACTGCCCTTCTTGGGGTCTTCCTGGGCCGTCTTAGGGGGCCCTGGGGCCGCCTTGGGGCCGTTTTGGGCCCTGTTGGGGCTCCCGTCTTGGGACGATCTTGGGGGCCCCTGGGGCTGCACTGGGCGCAGTCAGGACGAAAAAGGCGTGTATGTCGAACGTGTGGGTCTTCCGACGGAATGGGACAATGTTTGCCTTCCGGCCTTCTCGGCGGCCCTCTGGAAGCACTCTTGGGCCGTCCTGGGGGCCTCGTAGCCCGTCGATCTCTTGGATGGTCTCGGCGCTCGTTGGACCGTCCTGGGGCTCTTGGGAGGCTCGGGAGAGCCCCTGGGGGGACGAGCTCGTGTCCCTCTCCCCAAGGCCATTCCTCTCTAGTGCGATTTGGGGCCCAGGGGGGGGAGAGGGAAGGGGAAGGGGGGGACAGCCAATCGTCTCACGCGCCTTGTCAACCCTCAGCAGGTGGTGGTCGGTGGAATGTTTTGTAGTGTCAGCGTTTTGCAAGTTTGTGGGCGCGCGCATTTCTCGAATGCAGGCCCTTGGCCCGAAACCGCTCCCCAGACCCGAGTTCTAACATCCTACACCCTGCACCCTACACGGCACGTTAACGGGGGCCGATCTGGCGAGGCTTGAGGCGACCGCGTCAAATGTAGATCCAAGTGTTTACCTTTCTTGGTCGGCTACAACGCTGCGATCTGCGCGTGCGATGCAGGTGGGCAGTGGCAGCGGGCTTTGGCACTGCTCCGCGAGATCTCGAAGGCGCAGCTGGATCCCGACGCCGGCTGCTACAGCGCTGTGACAATCGCGTGCGAGTCGGAGGCGTCCAAGGGGCGGGGGAGGACTACTCGCCAGTCGTTGCAAATGGGTCTTCATGGATTCCCAGATCCCCACATACTTTCTCGATAGCGCGTCATGGGAGCATGCTATACCTTCGCACTTCCGGCCTTAGCGCCGATTAGCGTCGATCAGCCTTTGGGAGTGGATGAGATGGCGCCGATGTAGCGTCGGCTAGCGTCGATTAGCGTCGATTAGCGTCGATTTAGCGTCGGTTGGCGTCGGCTTAGCGTCGAAGAGCGTCGTTTCGCAAGAGCCGACACGATGATATGGGAAACTCCCATGTGTTGCCACGGAATACTTTATGCGCTTTCCTGCTGCAATGATTGAGTGGTGCCCCTTCTTTTCTCCTCCCCAAGGGGGCGAGCGGAGACCAACGCAGCCTTTCGGCGCTTGCCCGCGTCATGTGACTACACACTTCTTCCGACCGACTGGTACACGCCGGTTGTTGAAAGTAGGTATCTTTGGTTTCGCAGATCCCAATGTAATTCTAGCGCCTTCGTACTTCAAACATCGATACGCGTTGCTATGTGTTGTTATTCTCCGGGAGGGCCTGGGCCCAATCTACTTCATCCGCCGTCCTACTTGCTTACTTACTGTTTGTTTACCTACTTCTTCCGACCGACGAGTAGGGGCGTTTGGATGTGCACCCTGTCTGGGGCCATGAAATCTCCCAGAGTTCAATCCAAGCCTCTCAGATGGGGTCGGAGTAGATAGGGTCGGAGGGTCGCGCCGCACCACCGAGGCATCGCCGATGCGGCTCGATGTGGGAATCGACTTGCTTCACGTCGACGTCGCCGATGTATCGCCGACGTCGACGATGCATCGCCCGTGCATCGCCGATACATCGTTGATGCATCGGTGATGCATCGCGATCCTCCGACCCCAGCTGCCTCGACCCCATCTAGGAGGTCTCTATTCGTGGCCACCTTGTGGTCTTTCAATGCGCTGCCTGGCTTCCCCCCCTCGTCCGCACACAAACCCTAGGCCATGGTGCGCTCCCCCCCCGTTCTGGCCCCCCTCTTCGGGCGCCGCCGAGCGAGAAAGCTGGGCAGTGGCGGCGGGTGCTGATTTTGCTCGGCGAGATGGAGGCGATGTTCGAGCCCGACGACGTCGACGCTACAGCACCGTGCGTACTGCGTTGCAGAAGTTCGCTCTCGCCTCCTTATTCTCCCAAGTTCCCCCCCAAACAAGTAGCAATCTAAGCACACGTTCGCCGACCCTGGTCAGGCGGCTCGCCGGGCTCAGGATGGGTGCATACGCCTTCGGGCTGGGCCTCCCTACCTGCCGACGTCACGGTAAGGGTGCGCTCCAAGGCGTCCAAGAATTCTAGACGCTTCGCGCATCCCCACCAGCCCGACCGCCTGCCGCTGGCGCTTCCGCCTGCGGCCGTAAAAAAAAAAGTATCCCCACCAGCCCGTCCAGAAACGACGCCCAGGCGAGTAGAGGGTCGTCTTGAGGGGCCTTTCGGCGTCTTGGGTGCCTCGGGGGGGCCTCTGTGGGCCGTTCGGGATCCTCTTTGGGGCCTCCTGGGGGCCTCTTGGGGCCTCTTGGGGCCATCTTGGGGCCTTTGGGGGCCTCATGGGCGCTTCTTGGGGCCTCCTGGGCGCCTCTTGGGTGCCTCTGGGGGGTCTCTTGGGGCCTCTTGGGGGTCTCTTGGGGGCCTCCTGGGGGCCTCTTGGGGGGCCTCTTGGGGCCATCTTGGGGCCATCCTGCGGCCTCTTGGGGCATCCTGGGGGCCTCTTGCGGCCATCGTAGAGAATCGATCAGAGAAGAGGGGAGCTTTAATTAGCGTTGCCCCCTCAGAAGGCCAAAATGGGGCCCAAACCATAGTGAAATCAATGATTTTGGCTTCCTCGCCGAGGCCGTTTTGGACGCTCTGACCGCTCCCCGCCCCTCCTGTCCAGGTCAGTGGGGACGGGGTAGGGGGAGGGGTAAACCCTTCCCCGAAGGGGAAGAGGGAGGGGTGGAAGAGGAAACGACCTAAACCACCGACGCCCAGAGGGCTGGTGGGATTCCTGGTGCTCCTATTGTTCCGCGCGGGCTCCAGGAAGCGAGGGCCAGATACACCAGAATTCCCGGACCGCATCCTGGGCCAAGCACATCATACCAGAGCAGGGCATGGCCCTCGTCCTACGTGAATTGGGGTCTCAGCAGATGGTGTCGGCGGATCGCGCCACATCTCAGATGCATCGGCGATGCGGCTCGATGTGGAGCCGATTCTCTCAACGCCGACGTCGCCGATGCATCGGCGATGCATCGGCGGTTCGGCGTTATCATCCGACTCCATCTAGTCGGACCCCTCTGGGAGGCCTTCCTCCTCCTCCTCCTTCTCCTCCTTCTCCTCCTTCTCCTCCTTCTCCTCCTCCTCCTCTTCCTCCCTCCCCCTCCTCCTTCTCCTCCTCCTCCTCCTCCTCCTCCTCCTCCTCCTCCTCCTCCTCCTCCTCCCACTCCTCCTCCTCCTCCTCCCCCTCCTTATCGGGGGCGGCGGCCAACAAGGGGGTGAATGACTCGGGGGGGGATGGATATCATGGCGGGGACCCATGACATCTCCCCAGATATCATGGCGCCTCTCCTCATTTCAATGCGTCCCCAGGCCCCCCCCCACGCGCCGCGCACATGCCGCCGGCCATGATTTGCGCCGCCCCCCCCTCTTGGAGGCCCCAAGAGGACTAGAGGCCAACCAAAGAGTGGTCCAAGAGCCTTTTTGTGGCTTGCACCAAGTGTTCTCAGAACGTTGCTGGCTGGGGCTGTCTTGTTTTAACACATCGGCTTGCCTAGAGGCCCGCCAAGGAGTGGTCTTTGCGCCTTGCACGAAAGGTTCTGAACAGATTTGTGGCTGGGGCTGCCTTGTTTTGACACCTCGGCTTTCTGTTCTCGGGACATTGTTTTTAGAATATCATGTGGTTCCAGGGACATGTCGTGGTGGGCCTACAGGAATGCCGGGACGGCCGGTCCCTGCTCGAGGGAGACAATGACGCACAGGTGAGCATGCAGCTTGCACTGGTGCCCCGAGCGGCTTCCGTCTCTCGGCCCGCTTCGAGGCCTGCCCGTCTGGAGCCGTTGCACGTTCCAGGTCGGCTCCGAGGGGGAGCCACGACGGCCCCACGATGGTCCAGAACATCCTCAGTTCAGGCGATCGCAAACGCGGATCCAGGGGGGCGTGGATTAGCGACGGGTCCCGTTTCCATGGGAAACCTCGTTTGCCCGCCGCCAAGGGTCGGCGACGCCGGCCGCATTTTGGGGAGGGCACCTCTCCCGATCCGTGGATTTGGCGACGACGCGCCAAATCCATGGAGAGGTAATCCATGTTTGCGCGCCCTCGACTTAGTGCGGCCCAGTGCCTCCGCAGCAGGGCTTCGTGCGACCCCGAAAGGGGGCCCAATTAAATCCAGGGCCTGGTAGGACTATAGGACAGCCGGGACGGTCGGTCCCTGCTCAACTGGTCGCCCGCCGTCCAACAAATCCCTCTAAGGGTCTTGCGGCCCCTACCACCCCTCCTTACTCCTCGGGGGGGTCCTAAAGGTGCCCCTGACCCAAGGCTCCAACAGCTTCCCGCTCCCCTTTGGAGTTCCTGAGCCCCCGTGGGCCTCGGGAGGGGTGCTCTGTGGGCCGTGGGGGCCTCCTTGGAACTCCTGGGATCACCCGGGGCCAGGGGCGCTCCACGCCCTCGCCCTTTTCCTCCCCCTCGTCGCCCTTGCCTGTCTTGCGTTCCCATTGGCGGTCCTGCCATCCCCCGCTCTTCACCCTCCTCCTCCGCGCGCGCGCCCCATCGGACAGCCTCGATGCCTACACGATAGGGGGACTCCTGGGGCTCGCGAGCTCCCTCTGGGCCTCTCTTTCAGCACCCTCCTCCTCCTCCTCCTCCTCCTCCTCCTCCTCCTCCTCCTCCTCCCTTCCCCTAGCAGCTCCTGAGCACGCACACACGTCTTGGCTGCCATCCCCCGTGCGAGCCCGCGCCCCCCCCCCGGCTCCCTGCGAGGCCCTCCCCAGAGGCCGCCGCGCCCTCCCGTGCGACGCCGCCCCCCGCCCCCCGCCCGCTCGGAGCGCCGCGCCCCTCGCGGCTCCCCCCCCCACCGGCGACGCCGCCGCCGCGCGACGGCGGCGCCGTCGCCGCCGCCGACGCCGACGACGCCGACGACGCCGCCGCCGCCGGCGACGCCGACGGAGACGACGGCTACGACGCCGACGGCGACGCCGACGCCGACGCCGACGCCGACGCCAACGCCGACGCCGACGCCGACGCCGACGCCGACGCCGACGCCGACGACGACGACGACGACGACGGAGACGACGACGGCGACTGTGACGGCGACGGCGACGGCGACGTGGATGGCGACGGGCACGAGCACGGCACGCGGTTCCCGGGGCCCGGAACCAGGCGAGATCGCCCGTCGGGAAACAAAAATGTGACGCCATAGTCTCAGGGTCGGCGCACCGCCGTGAGGCTTTCGGGTCATGACCCAGCTTTCTGGCGGCCGCCAGGGATGATTTGGCATCCCCCCAGGAAGCTCTCGGCGAGGCGCAGCTGCTGGAAAACATCTCTCGAGGCTCGAAAACCGCCGAGAACCTATGAAAACGCGCGAAAACTGCCGAGAACGCCGACAGGGTCGATGCTCGAGTCTCGATTGTCGGGCGGCGGCGGCGGCGCCGCCGCCGCCGCTTTCGTCGTCGTCGTCGCCGTCGCCGTCGCCGTCGCCGTCGCCGTCGGCGGCGGCGGCGGCGGCGGCGGCGTCGCAGTCGGCGGCGGCGGCGGCGTCGTCGTCGCCGCACTGCGTGGCGGCGACGTCGCACTGCTTCGGCGCCCCCCGCGGAGGCGTCGAGGCTCCTAGCGGCGGCGTGCCACGCGCAGACGAGGGGGCACCAGAACGAGGCTCGCGCGGCGGGTGGGAAAGAGATGGAGGAGGAGGTGGATGAAGAGGAGGAGGGGGAGGAGGAGGAACAGGAGGAAGAAGAGGAGGAGGAGGAGCAGGAGGAGGAGGAGCAGGTGGGACGGATCGAGTGAGGGATGGAGGGAGGGAGGGGGGCAGGAGGAGGTTGTGAGGAAGCAGGACGATGGGTCGAAGGAACGCGGTGGAGGAGGAGGAGGAGGAGGAGGAGGAGGAGGAGGAGGAGGAGGAGGAGGAGGAGGTACGGTCGGGAGAAGCACGTTATTGAACAGCTACTTGCGGCCACCGCGTAATTACACTTGGAGTTAGCCGAAGTAGATCTACGCATCAATCGTTCCAAGAGCAAGTTGGTGGCCTCCAGTGTCGGTCTCAGGATCACGCTCCAGAGCATCACGCTCTTGCTGCTCCTCTCGGATGTCAACCATGTCGACCCCGCGTACAAGCTGTGCAAAGGGCCTCTGCTATCGTTACCGCCAGCAGTTTGGAGCAGCCTGCTGCCGCGCGCGCGCTTCTCTGTGGAGGGGTCCGTGACGCCAAGCAACGCCTCCAGCAGCAATCGTCTCCCTGGCAGTGTATCAAAGGACCCTTTAGTGCGTGTGTGGCCACAGCCATGAGACTATG